TCATCTAGAATTGTTAGACTTCAGCTATAATTGCTAAGTGTATATGCTAGAGTTATATAAGAATCTAGTCGCACTCGACCTAGAAATTGGTGGGTCCGCCTTACTTCCCGTTCCTTGTTTGGTTGTGGACCTAGGGCAGACCCATTATATTCGACAGTTTATTTAACTTAAATTTTATATAACTTATATACACTGGGTGATTGTAGAAGGAATCTACAGGTCTTTCTAGGGTACATTATTGCATAACATAGGAGAGTTCATTTAGTGTTTAATAAAGAAAATATTGAATTTTCTGAAATCATACTCTGTCGCTTTTTTACAAGGAAAACGGCTTCTTTCTCAAATAAAACTCTTATGAACTCACCAACTTAATTGTTGACGCTTTTTCAAACTACTTGTATTCTCAGGAATTCAGTGAAACAGGAAATCAACCGCTTTTGAGGATGGGACGTTAAATCGTCAAACATTTCATTTTTGTCATCATAAGTGTAATTGATTGGAAACATGTAAACACATACTATTGTATAACTTTTTCAATTATATTTATGACGGTTGTATTTACTTTGAGCACTATTATACTCGTTGTTGTGATACTATACATGAAGTCCTCCACCCCCAGACGTTTCCGCCATCCTTGGTTTGGGGGTGTGAGATAGAGTGTCCGTTGCGAGTCTCCATTGCCAAAGAACACGGGATTTCTTCTTCTTCAGTTTATCGGGGCTGCGTTTTGGAGATCGTCGGGGTGTCTTTCCCGATTGATTTGATTCCGATTCCCATGGGGGAAGTATGTGTGATAGTGGGTATGGACTGGCTGAGTCGATTCGGTGTCATGATCGACTGCGAGGGTCAGCGTGTGGTAGTTCGAACCCCAAGTGGGGGAGAACTGGTTATCTTCGGTGAGGGTACTAGAGTGGGTTCAAGGTTTTGCTCAGCTTCCAGGGCTCGACAATATATTCAGCACGGGTGTAGGTTATTTAGCGTATGTGGTGGATACGAGGGTCAGGGATCAGGTTTCGGTTTCATACGTTCCAGTAGTCAGGGAGTTCGTTGACATGTTTCCGAAGGAGTTACCCGGAGTGCCTCCGGAGAGGCAGGTCGAGTTCAGGATCGACCTTGTGCCAGGTGCAGCCCTTATAGCCAAGGCGTCGTGCCGATTGGCACCACCTGATATGCAGGAGTTGTCATCTCAGCTGCAGGAGCTGCTAGGCAAGCAATTCATTCGTCCGAGCAGTTCTATGTGGGGAGCACCGATACTCTTCGTGAAGAAGAAGAAGGATGGTTCACATCGGATGTGCATTGACTACCGGGAGTTGGACAAGTTGACGGTGAAGAACCGTTATCCACTACCACGGATCGATGATCTCTTTGATCAGTTACAGGGACGATCTTGGTTCTCCAAGATAGATTTGAGGTCCAGGTACCATCAGGCTAGGGTACGGGAGTAGGATGTGGAGAAGACAGTGTTCCAGACTCGCCATGGACACTATGAGTTCGTGGTGATGCCATTTGGGCTCACCAACGCGCCAACTATATTTATGGACTTGATGAATCGGGTATGTAGACCGATGCTCGATCGCTCAGTCATAGTGTTTACAAATGACATCTTGGTGTATTCCAAGACTAGAGAGCAACATGAGGAGCATCTTCGGGAGCCATTGGGAGTTTTGAGACGAGAACGGCTTTATGCCAAGTTCTCGAAGTGCGAGTTTTGGTTACGAGAGGTTCAGTTCCTTGGACATCTCGTTAACCAGGAGGGGATTTTGGTCGATCCAGCCAAGATCGAGGCCGTTATGCGGTGGGAGGTTCCGAAATCTCCCTCAGATATCAGGAGCTTCTTGGGATTGGCAGGGTACTACCAGAGATTCATACAGGATTTCTCCAAATTGCAGTACCCCTCACTCGTTTGACGAGGAAGGGGTGGATTTCGGGTGGGGCCCTGAGCGGCAGAGGGCATTTGAGACCCTCAGACAGCGACTTTGCGAGGCTCCAATCTTGACTCTCCCGGAGAGAGTTGAGGATTTTGTAGTGTTGTATGATGCATCCATCACGGGACTAAGAGCGGTCCTCATGCAGAGAGGACGGGTGATAGCCTACGCGTCGCGACAGTTGAAGCCACATGAGACGAGATACCCCACACACGATTTGGAGTTGGGAGCGGTGGTATTCACTCTCAAGATTTGGAAACATTATCTCTACGGGGTCCACTGTACCATATACACGGACCACAAGAGTCTGAGACACATCATGGATCAGCCGAACCTGAACATGAGGCAGCGTAGGTGGCTGGACGTACTCAAGGATTATGAATGCGAGATCCTTTACCATCCTGGTAAAGCGAATGTGGTGGCGGACGCCCTGAGCCGCAAGTCGGCTGGATCCTCTACTCCGACAACATGTATGAGGATATCAGTGGATTCTCCACTTGTGAGCTTGATCAGGGAAGCTCAGGCTAAGGGTGTACGGCAGGAGAACTGGAAGCTAGAGAGGATTAGAGGTGATATCACCCGATTTGTACTGGACAGTCGGGGATTGTTGACCCGTTGCGGTCGGGTCTGGGTTCCGATGTCTGGTGGGGTCAGACAGATTATAATGGAGGAGGGTCACAAATCTCGCTTCTCCATTCACCCGGTGGCCACCAAGATGTATAGGGACCTGAGTTTGAGTTACTGGTTGTCGTTCGTGAAGTGAGAGATCGCTTGGTATGTCGAGAGGTGCTTGACCTGCAGGATGGTCAAGGCCGAGCACCAGAGGCTGCATGGCAAGCTGTAGCCTCTAGAGATTCCCATGTGGAAGAGGGATGTAACGACCCAAAAATCAAGGGTAAAAAATTCATATTTAATATAGTCAAAACATATATATCATTTATTCCAAACATCCAAAACATCGTTAATTAAAACATTTATCATAGTTCATCCCAAAATCATTCAATGCGGAAAACATGGGTGTGTGCACTACGATCAATATGGGCCCTTCCTTTCCAAACCGATGATACATGAAACAATAAACAAAAATGTAAGCACGAAGCTTAGTGAGTTCCCCATAGCATACCCCACACAATCCACATAACCACATAATCCTTATCAGCTATAACAGCTACATAAATCATATCAATCACATAACCATGCATATAAACATATACGGATACCGTGGGCTCCCCCAGGGTCTTACTCCAGGATGCCATGGGATCCCCACATGGTCTTACACCTAAGTTCCTTGAGCTCCCCCCATGGTCTTCAATAGGAAAGCCATGGGCTCCCCACATGGTCTTACATCCATGTGCCATGGGCTCCCCCCATGGTCTTTAATAGGAAAGCCATGGGCTCTCCACATGGTCTTACATCCGGGTGCCATGGGCTCCCCCCCCCCCATGGTCTTCCATGCGAGTATCACAAAGACAACTAGCATACCACATACCACATAGTCAATAGCATACCACATAATCACTAGCGTACCACATATACATGCATACCAGACATATTAGTATTGAATCTACAATAAACACTACAACTAACTGAATGGATCGGCCTTGGTGCCTTAGACCCATTGGTATGGTGAGGAGACTCGCCGGGCACTGCTGAAGTCCCGCGGATAAAACTCTAGCTATTGGTTGACAGGTTCTCGAACTGTCAATCATCAAAATGACACCCAATTAATAATTGGGTTCCAATACATAACCATAAATCTACACTTGGGGTAAATGGACCATTTTACCCCTAACCTAGCTTGGTTCAAAACCAAGGCCTAAACTCACATTCTCAAGGCCCAAAAGCCCAATAATCAACCAAGGCCCAACATATGGCCCAATTTTCCAAATTGGGCCCAAACCTCTACATGGGCTTATCTTAAGGCCCAACCATTTATTCTAGTCCAAACACTTGGCATTCTGATGGCCCAATAGCTAATAATCCTCAAGGCCCAATTATGGACCACTTATGGCCCAATTTTCCAAATTGGGCCCAAGCCTCTCTAATGGGTCTTATCCTAAGCCCAATAATTTCCTTAGTCCATAAATATGTTCCCAATTGGCCCACAAAGGCCCACAACAGCTTAGTCCAATAAATGGCCCAACAAACCCAAACCCAATTAGGGTTTTTCACATAAAAAATAACGATTAGGGTTAAGTGTTTCTTACTTAATCCATTAAATCCATCAATCTACTAGGTCAATCATATAGTGTGGTCGGGCTTAATACATAATCCCAATCCGGTCATCCAAAATGCGGGTCCCGACAACCCATAACCCATATAATCCAAAATTAGGGTTTTCTAACCCTAATTAGGGTTTCCAACCCAATAGGCCCAAAAGCTAAGTCCTTAGATCCATTAGGGTTTCGTTAGGCCCAGTAGGGTTTCATTAGGCCCACTAGAGTTTCATAATTCAGGCACCACCCACTACCACCTCGGGTAGTGGTGGTCCATTGTGGCTCACGGCGACGGTCACCACCTTTACTGTGGTGGTTATGGTTCTAGTCCAATTTTGTCCAAGCATCCCAAACGAAGTCTAAACATAAACAAAGCACACCGCCACCCAACACGGCGGCTGGTGGCGGCAGGAGGCGGCAGCCACCACCTCATGGTGGTGGTTATGAGTTTTCTTGATTATACTAGTCACTAATTACAATTTTACAATGCTTTAACCCAAAGTAAACACACACACAACAAGGTAAACAAACACACACAACCACCCTTATGGTGGTCGGCGGTGGTACATGGTGGCAGCCACCACCTCACGGTGGTGGTGGTGGTGGTGGTGGCTTTTCCGTGAATTCCGGCCAAATAAAACACACACATGCTCCTTGGTTGCAACATTAATCCAGCCACCCACCTAGTGGTGTACGGCAGCAACAGTAGCACTAAACAGCGGCAAACGGCCGTGTGGCGGCGACGACCACGTCAATACAACAGTGGTGGAACAAGTGGCAGAGGGCAACCGGGGCGTAGAAAAGTAGTTGCTCGGGACAGCAGCGACGATGCGACGTTGGAAAGGAATGGAGAAGGAAGATGGTGGTGCGAAACCCACCGAGTACAACAGTAGCAGCCTCACATCATGGTTTTTCGGTGACCCACGTGAAGATCTTTGTTGTTCACGACATCACTGACGGCAGTAGGGATGGTGACGTTCTGATGTCGAAACTGCAGGCGACATGGTGGCTCTTCGTCTTCAACTGCCGTGGTCGCTCCTCCACCGGAAAAACGACCACAACGGCCATGGTCCTCGGTTCACCCGATCTTCAAGACGTCGGTCTTCAGCGATCTTGGTTTCGTCGGCATCCACCGTGGTGGCGTAGTCCTGGTGGTCCGCGACCTTTATGGCGGAGGGAGGTAGCGGCGATGGAGGCTGGAGCTTAAGGTGGCGGCTCCCACAAACTTGGAGGCTGGAGCTTAAGGTTAGAGAACGTAGCGGGTTTATATACCCCGACTCCCTTAGAACATTATTCCCATAATAATGAAATCAGCCCCTCCATCTTCTTTTTCTTTCAAATTTAATCCAAATGTAACCAAACACCCACTGACTTCTAAAATCCTTTGCAAAATAAATCCAGAAATTACACTTTAACCCTCAAAAGTCCAAATTATATTATTTGGCTCCCCGAAACCAACACCCCGCTAAATATTATTGATTTTAGGGCCATTATAAAATAATATAAATTATAATTTACATCTTGGGGTTCCGGGTTTATTATTTAATTACTCTATTTCAAACAGGATGGTACAACTCTCCCACACTTAAATTAGATTTCGTCATCGAAATCATTCCTTACCACTCCTCACATGCCAAATAACTTGAGCAACATGGCCACAGTCCCGAGCATAGCATAGCCTCTCCAAGGCAACCAAAATCAACCCCGCAGGGTTCTAAAACCCAAAGATGAAACGAATTCCTTGCAACATGATTACATTTAGTCAATTTAAAACATGAAGCCTCGAGATGGTCTGTCTCCCAGACAGACCGCTCACCCTGAATCATTGCCGAATTCATTGCACTTATCTCCCAACTGGCTACTCAACCTCCTAATATTATTTAGTCCAACTGTAAACAACTTAGTATATACCCTGAATACAAGCAATTCCACACACGAATCCCAAGTCACTGAACCCCACCTCGACTCTTCTTGCTACCACTTGCTGCTTTCTAGAGGCAGCCGAGACCTCCCTGATCTCACCTTATCTGTCAACTGCTCGAAACATCGGACACCTAACCGATTGATGGGCCAGAACACACGCATAGCATTCCCACATGACCTCCGAAGGATACTCCGTCTGGCAATAACTGCCCTATCTATACTGTCACTCATGGCTCCTTCAATCCTTTGATCCATCCGATCATGATAGGCTGACAACCTGTCGCCATTGAATCTGATGCAAAAAGTTGAATCTACCAGAACAACTGTAGTCTTACATCATACTCGACCTACCGTTTCCTGATTCCAATAATGTTGTGACCTACTTACAACCTTGCGAACTGGCCCACCCTGGTCTAAGTCATCTGAACGAATCTGTGAATGTCACAGCTACCCTGCAGTCTTTCTGTACTTCCCGCACTATCTGACCGCTTGTGAATGCTACGGGTCCCCCCGCAGTCCCCGCAGTCTTACAACACTCTCTACACTATCTGACTACTAGTGAATGTTACGACTCCCCCGTATTCTTACAACACTTTCACCCCACTGACTACTAGTGAATGTTACGGCTCCCCCGTAGTCTTATAACACTTTCATCCTAACTGACCATTAGTGAATGCTACGGCTCCCCCGTAGTCTTACAACACTTTCATCCTAACTGACCATTAGTGAATGCTACATCTCCCCCGTAGTCTTACAACACTTTTGTCCTAACACAACCGCAGCCCAATGCCTTACCCCTAATCTATCGATTTGAAACACATACAGAGTCGAGCACGCACTCGACCGAGCACCCGAACTAAACTCAATTCATGACTCGAGCCCCAACCTGCTTCCCCAAATTCTGCTATCAAGCCCCCAAGAAGACGCGATTCACACGCTGGGTAGTTTTACCGAGCTCCAAACTCATGTAACCATCAAACCAAATAGCCACTTGGGCCGCCATTATCCTCGATGAGGATGAGAAATCCCATCTCGGTCTCATACCTGCCCCTGTCCTGAATACCGGCACGATTCTCCCCCACTTAGATTCGACTAAGTCTTTGCAATACATGAGATTTGAAGGATTCCCAATCCTTCTTACTCTTAAGTAATCAACTGCTGACAACCTGTTCTTACCCGTGTTAGTGTTCTATTACTGGCCTAAACCCCAAAAGACCACACAACTCCTAAAGATCAGATGAACACTTCCCGAATCCTAGCGAAACTAATAATCTCAGACGCCTTGAAATGATGCCACACTTATATCTCGAAGTCCAAATAACCAATGCCGAGACCAAAGCCTTTGCAGTAGACCACTTCCCCTGGCGCTTCCAAAATCCGACCCAAGCATAATGGTTGAGTCACCAATCCTGACCGGAGACCCTCCGCATCACGTCCCTGATCCGATCTCGACCATAGACCCAGATAACATTGACCGCTCCAAACCAGCAAAGAGGGAAACGACCTTTCACTAACCACCCCGTAACTCACGATATGCAAATGGCACATGACAATGTTTGAAGGTATAACCCAAACACAAGCAAGGAAACAAACCCAGAGATACACTTACTAAAACCCTTGAAACGAAAAACTCTCTCGTGCGGTCTCCCGCAAGCACTGTACCGAATCCGACCCTGCTGACCTCTCAAAAGCTGACCCAAACTTTTGGGTCTCTTTCCGGGACCCTCCAATATATGCACCTGATCTGGTCCCCTCCTCCCTATGTTCTCCAAATCAATCCCTTGCTCTTGGCTCTGGGACCCATATCATTCAGGGTCTCGCACCCTATAACGCCCGTAGATCCGGGCTAGTCAATTTAGAGACGATAAGCATCAAAAATGACTTTTTGATGGAAGTTTATTTAGAATGAATAATCTTAACCAAGTTTAGGTATATGTCACAAGGTTTCCGAAAATATAAAGAATGCCGAAATCCGAGTTATAACGAAGAAGTTATGACATGTCGAAGTTTCGCGACAGAACCGGCACGACACAGCGCGACGTAAATAGTGAATTTACGTTAGAGCGATATTTGGCCTTAGCGATCTAAACGAAAGTCGTAAAATACGTTAAATCGAGAGCGTGCATAAAGAGAACGTCTAAATCTGACTTCGTATGAGGAAGTTATGATTTTTCGAAATTTCAGCTTAGCAGTGTACAGCCCGAAGTTCGAATATGAGATCGAGCGATATTTAGCCGAAACAATCTAAACGGGAATTGAAGATCTCATCGTTAGTAGTCCAACGGTAAAAAGAAAGACGAAAACGAACGTTGGATGAAGAAGTTATGATTTTATAACGGAGTTTTCCTGTCCCGGCCTACTAAAAATAATATAATAAAAATAAAGTCAAAATTAGCCAACGGAGTCTAAATGAAATATGTAGAGCATAGTCTCACCTCCGCATGGATATAAAGAACGTCGAAAACAGAGCTCGTATGCGAAAGTTATGAATTTTTGAAATTCGAGGCACACATACCAAAGCTTATCCGAACCGTACTCCCAGCGTAGAGCTTAGTACGCCCAGTGTACCGAGTACGCCCATCGTACTCCGAAATTACGCCCAGCGTAAATCGAGTTTCAGCACCCTATAAATAAAATGCGAGGGCAGCCGATTCCTTTGCTCATTTTCTCTTCTCTCTCTCCCATTTTGCATCGATTTTCGTGCAAGAGATACCCCGAAGCCCCGGTATCATTCCCGAGCACCGAAGCAAGTCCCGAAGCCCCGAAGATCCCCGAGGAGCAAAGTTTCCGAGCCGAGACTCTGCCCGCGTAAAGCCCGGTTTTGGAGAAAACGTCCCGGTTTTATCGGAAAAGATTATTTTAAGAGACGAGGTGCTGTCCGATCATCGTGTTATCAAGTGAGTGTATAGTCACTTTCACCTTACACATATATATGAAGTATTTTCTTTAAAATACGTGCTATGTGTAATTATATTAATTGTTTAATTAAGGTGACTGTTGAATAGATGTTTTATACAAGTTTTAAACTGTATATGTATTTTTTATATACAAATATGTTAGGTAAAACATGGGTAGATGAATTAGATTATGTGTGATGAAATAAAGATGATGAGAGGTATCGATGTTTAAGATGATCTAGTCATCTAGCAGAGTATAGACAATGGCCACAGACGATTTTAGATAGTCCAGTGGAACGTTAGCAGACTTGTAATCGGTAGGTATGTTTGAACTATATGTTCATAAGGTGTTCTCGAACTATATGTTCATTAGGTGTTTTTGAACTATGTGTTCATCCGTTAGTTCTTCTTTTTGACACTATTACGTGTCGGGGTACGGGAGCGTACGGGGGTACTTTATTAGTATTTTCCTTATACTTTTATCATATCTTGTTTGGGAACAAATTCCGCAACCATTTTCTTTAAAAGATTACTCTGATTTATAAAACAAAGCATAAACAAATCGGTCTTTTCTGGCCGAGAAATTGGGGATGTCATACACCTTGACCTACTCACCAGCTCAATCGTCAACGGCTGAACTGCAATAGCTGGAACAACCTCTGCTCTAAATCGGGCTACTAACTACCCCCAAGACATATTCTCCAATCCCGAAAGTGCAATAGATCGTACAATCACTCCTTACCGCCTGATACAAGAGATCCAAGGCGAACTCAAAACCCTGGCAGTCCTTCCACTAACTGGCTCACCACCGGAGTCGGGACCAAACCCTGGTCCTTCCTCATGTGTGCTCATCCTCATCTAGCAAAGCAGCTATCCTCACTATCAGAGCATAACCAAGAATTCTCCTTCCCATAAGCTTCTTAGATTCTCCAAGACTCTCACCGATTCGAGTATGGATCTTGTGCTTTCAGTAGTACGGGCCCATACTGACTTCCACACCTATCCATACTTTCCTCGGCAATCCTCCTGAATCCTCAAAGTCACCTAATCCCTTGGTGTACCAAATATCCGCTAAACAGCAACATAATACCCATCAAAGCAACTCCTAGGCTCCCCCTAGGTTCCCAACCTCATCGAACCCCCCACCCCCACTAAACTCATTGGAGCATATCCTAGGCTTTCCTAGGTTCCCAACCTCACCCTGTCATCAGCTGCTGAAGAAATCCCCATGATTCCAGCCATCCACCTCCTGGATATCGTCATATCCACTTAGTAGCTGACTGCCATCACTGAAGAGTTCCACAAAGCACAAAGCAAGCAGCATTCGTGCAGTAGCACTCCGATCCAAAGAACTACCATACAACATTCAGCCCACATATTGCAACTC